AGCACATACATCTGCAGAGATGGGCAGATGCATAGTGGGTAGGTAAATCCTTTTTATGTAGAATCACACCGTGTTCTCACTGCTAAATGATCCTTTCATCTTACAGTTTGCTTGTTTGCCTTCACCCTCTGGCACTTCTGAGCAGAGCGACTTATAAAAACACAATGTGTCCTACAGTTCATCAGCAAAAACCCTTCCATGGACATAGGGTAGGATGTTGACCAGAAGTGTTTAGAGATCTGAAACAGAGACTAAATTTAGCACTGATTTTGGCTCCAAAATTCCTAGCACTTATCATTGTAAATGCTACATTACACACAGCATACATCACAGCCCAGGGCTGTGACTAAGACACTGTCAGGGTGAGAGCTATGACTGCTGGAGACTTCAGCATGGAGCAAGACATGGCAGTGATACACCTTAAGTCTTCTCATGATACTGCTCAGACCACCAACCCTCCCATTAAAGCACTGTTTATAAGAGAACGGTTTATGACATCAAAGGTGGCAGAGAAGAAAATACAAAGTACTGGGCAAAGGAAAAAAAGGTGAACAATTTAGGTAGCCACTAAGGTCTGATGCCATAAAATTTGAGTCTTTGCACACAGCCGGAGGTATTTAACATTTTCAGAGCTTAGCACTCACAAGTATTTATTTAAAACAGGATCTATACCATGACTGTTATTTTTATGGAGGGCACAATGAGAGACATTAGCAAGAAATTGCCAGGCACACCATCCTTAATCAGCTGATAAGTGTTTTCACCTTAAAAATGCATGTTTGTCTGGAAGAGTAAAGTGCATGCAACTAAGTGGGTTAGCAGGAGATGAGCATTCAGTACCATGAAACAAAAATAGCTACCAGAATAGGGTGCCATAGGACAGCTTTAAATCTTTTGGTCTCAATCTGGAACAGATTCACAACTCACATTACCCGTTTTTAAATCTTATTACGTGGTTTGGATTAGAATTCAAGTTTCTTCTCCAACACAGAACTCTCCATGCCCTTTACAGAGAACCTGAGGCTGACAGGCTAACTTCTAAGTACCTGACTCTCTTACTAGATGCAGCCTCAAGTAATACATCTCCCTTCTCTCAACTCAGGAGTCTTCCATTAGGAGAAGTAGGTTTAAAGACACTCTGCAGAAAGCAAAAAAACACACAGTCCTGTGTGAATTGGACTTGATGATACATGCCTCACACCCTCTGATTTTCAAGAAGAGCTGAGCACCTAGATAGTTATTTCAGTCTGCCCAAGTGACTTGCAACAGGCTTTGTACCTCTACATATTCTGAAAAATCCCACTTGCTACAGAAAAAACACTACAGTCAAGTTTATTTCAATTACAGAGGATAAAAATTGCAGGGAGAAAATATTACGTTTACTGCTCCTCTTACGCTGACCAAACCTCTAAATTAAAAGCAGTAAAATGGATGCCCCTTTCGCTGCTACATCCTGATTAAGATGCTTTTCTGTTTAGTCTGTGCCAAGGACTTCAAACAATATTATTCTAAAAGTTAGAGGTAGGAAAATCTGATTCTTCCTAAGTGAAATGGATTTATACCTACATGAATTGTATCTCACCTGAGAAGATTTAAGCCTTCATGGTTACGTTGCCCTGATAAGAGAGAGCAGTTTGGGTTAGTGTCAGATTCAGACAAGTTTACACAGCTTTTCTTCATTCTCTGCTTGGATGAGCTCAAGCAAAGCACAATACTGGTCCCTATGAAGTGCACACCATCTCTTTGGTAAAGAAAAATTTGACATTGTGTTTACAGTTAATCAGAATTTCACAACTGGTTTGTTAATACATAGAACATCTCCCCATTGTGCCACTTGAGTTCATTTTGCCGATTCACAGATGACCAAAAGTGTATCTACTATTAGAAGTGCTGAAAAGTCAAGGGAGATACTTGGTGAAGGTCAGGGGCTTACACAAGTAGCCTCAATTGGGTCTGCTGTTTATACTGCTTTTCTGAGAGAGTGGTCAGGCGCTGGAATGGGCTGCCCAGGGAGGTGGTGGAGTCACCAACCCTGGAGGTGTTCAAGGAATGTTTGGACATTGCATTGAGGGACATGGTTTAGTGAGAACTATTGGTGATAGGTGGATGGTTGGACTGGATGATCTTGAAGATCATTTCCAACCTTGGTGACTCGGTGATTCTGTGCTGCTACAGCTCTGTAGAAGGCATTAACTGACCCCTAAAGCTGGGCCTGTGTTCATGTCAGCAGCCAGATCAAGATTTCTTCTTATCATGTGGCAAATTATTATGGAGGCCAGTCTGTGCTAGGTCACTTATGTCACACGAGTTGAAGAGAAAGAGAAAAGAGGAAGGGCTGGCACAGAGACACAGAACCTTAGCGAAGCAATTGGAGAAGTGGGTGCAGCCACAGTTATCTACCACTGCAAACAGCAGTATAGGGAAAACTTTCTGTGTTTATTTTTCTCTGTAGTCTGTAGTTTGAGAAAGCCACTTTCCTTATCTACAGCTGTCCAGTGGGAAGCTCTCAAAGGAACACTGTCAAAATGCAGCACACCACCATGGTCCAATGAGGCCAATTTATGAATAGCTGAGGATCTGACTAGACAGCTTCTCTCATTTCTGTGCTCCTCAATCTGTATTCACAGTGTTTTGCTATCAGAGGTTTATCTTATGAAATATTAATACCATGGTTCAGCACCAAGGTGGGGTTAAGAGCTGGCAATGCATTAATGCTCCAGGTAATAAGCTCAGCAACTTTCAGCTGTCAGTCACAGCTCTCTGAAGTTATCCTGGCAATGGTACATGCTTTCAGTTATCCTCATTGCTGATGCATTAAAAGCAGTACCTAGCAGATGTGAGACTTTTCTGTGTAAACAATGTGCTGAAAATAATCCCAAAGATCCAATCAACCAGTAAGAAAATAATATCAGTTTTTTATAAATACCTATTGTTTAAGAGAGGATACACAAGCAACTTAAGGAGAACCCAATAAATGTTTTAACATTAAATAAAGCATTACATAATCTAACTAGAAAATGAAGACTACTGTTGTGCTCAAGGAAAAAAAATCTGGGAAGAGATGAAGTTATTATTTTATGTTTATTTTAGTAAGGCTGTACTTTTAGGTAAATGATGCTTAATTTACCAGAGTGGACTATGAGAAGAGGATAACACAGCAAATAATGCAGCAAACCATCCAGACCATACAGCCCTCAGTAGATTTAATCTACAGATGGCTCGAGGTTTCATTACTGTGTGAACAGATAGGTCAGCTCTAATTCTTACCTGAAAGATATTTCAATCCAGCTTTAGAAGAAGATTCCTGTATTAACAGGACTCCCCCTGCAGCACAATTAATATTTCCTTGATCCCTCCCAAGTGCCAAAACAGTTTATGGGTTTCACTATGTCTCAGTCCAAGGAAATAACAGCTATAAAAGGTTTAATTGTGGTGGAAATACACGAGGCTTTGTGATGGAGAAGAGATCAATATAAACAAGAAAACAACTGTTCATAGATTTTTTCCCCCCTCATAGGTGCTTATCCAATTACCAAAATCTGCTATGTTTTCATATTCTATAATCTAAATCTAAATCTGTCACAGACATCTTAACTGAAATAGTATTTTACAAAGAATTATTTATAGCATTGCACTCCCTCAGTAGCTGTCTTCATCCTGCAGAACTGTCTCCTTTTATAAGGTTTTCTACCATTTTGCTTTCAAAGTACACAACCTCACCCGACACCTTATTCATCAGCCACTAATGGTGGAGAATGTGAATGTGCCCACACTCCTGATTTGTTACTCTTATTGTCAAGTAGCATAACGAGACCAAAGGTAACAATTTTTGAAGGACCAAATGCTAGCTAGAAAATGGCTAACTCCATTTAGGTTAGGACTACTTGAATTTCCTTACACATTCCTCCCAGGAGTAGGATGACTGTTTTTCAGTGCTTATCTTTCGACTACCTGCCTACAATGTCAGCTCTGCAAGCAACCCACCATTCAATGAAAACACACTTGTTTTCCTTTGACATGCAAAGTTAATACATCCCCGGACTAGAGAAACCCTCAATGAAATACTAATTTGTTGTGCTGCTTGAATTACAGATTCAGCTAGGGAAACCAAAAGGTCCATTGTCTAAGGAATGTGTTTGTTTACACTTAATTTTGTGTCTTGCTCTCTTCCCAAGTCACCAGAACATTTGATGTCTCTGCATAACTTCAAAATATCAGAATCAAGCATCAAAGGATAACAAAATTTAAACAAAACAAAAAGCTGTGTGCTTTACCACTGGGTGCCATATGATTAAAGAGAATTAAAGAATGGGCAGAATAGCCCCAGGGTCAGTGATGTTGGTATTAGGCAGGAACGGGCAACTGGAGAGCTGCAGAAACTGTTAGTACATGGGAAAATTGTGTAATTTTCCACTGTGGAAGGTGATGCAATTAATCTATGGACTTGATTGTCTCAAGGAAAGAGGGAGAGGATGTGCAACAAGTCAGGCAAGATCTGAAATTTATGACCTCTGGGCTATCTCAAGAAATCTGGTCTCAAGGCAGCACTTGGAACTAGGATCCAGGACAATGGGATTTTACTCCTGTCTCTGTTCATGTAGACAAAAAGACATTTTATTTCTGATTTCCTATCCTTTTGTCCATCCTGTCATTTTATATTGAAATGTTTTGTGTGCTTGGCACACTGATCTGGAGCAAGACTGGGAAGAGCAGCATGTTATAAATAAGTATTGTGTTATGAAAATGACATTTGTTTGACAGGTCACTTCCCCTCTCGTGTCAGAGGCATCATTGTGAACACACTTCAGGATAACAGCCTTTCCACAGGTAGGCTCCCTTCATTCTCTGTTAGCCAAAGCACACCTGATAAAATGAGCAGTAGGGATTCGGACTTTTATTTAAAACAGAAGAGTTGCTCACCTGTGAAATAACCCTGCTGCCATCTGTCACACAGCAGTGAAACATAATGGAATATTGGTGGGAAGGTTCAGCCTCTACTGCCATCCCACCAACATCCGCCTCCGACTTCATGGACCAAAAATAATTAAACAGAAGGCATTACTTTCAGAGCAGCTGTCACAAATTTCAGCAAATCCCGAAGAGCGGGATTTTTCATTTCTTCTTAATTACAGGCAGAAATTACTTGACAAGCTGAAGGAATGAAGAGGAGTTGTGGATCAACTCCTTACATCTGTTGAGGTAAACCCATTGTAGCCAGTTAGCAAATTCCAGTCCCTCAGGTGAGCACAAAATAGATGTAGAAATCAGTTTCTAAATCCTCTTTTCTGAAATTCTCCAAGGAGAATCAGAGCTCAGCCAAGCTCTTTACTGAATAAAAACATTTATTCAGGAAACAGCACACTGTCCAAGCCTTTATATCACATAATATTGATTGCTGGTACTGATAACTGAAGGTGAATATTATGCTCAGTTTGCCTTTAATATCCCTTGGAAACCTCTTGTAAAGGGGTAAATTATTAAAGAAAGGGACTCTGTTATGCCGAGGCCAAGAAAGAAGCATGTGTAAAGATGTAGATACATCTTTATATCTAGCTAAAAATATACGCCACGGATATTTTCTCAGTTTGTTGAGACTGCTAATGCAGGCAGAAATTGGCACATATTTAATATGTTATTTTTGAGAGCATATCTGTGTCACACGCACCATCAAAACAACTGTACCTCATAGGTAAAAAAAAGCCTACAGGACGCATTTGGTGATGCACTACAGAAAATGGTGGGAAGGTTCAACTCTGCCCAGCTGATTTATAAATAGTTTTTCTATTCAATACAATAAAGGAACTTAGATTTTATGTTTTAATGAAGGAAGGAATTAATTTTCAATAGACTTAAGGACCCGTGTAAAGATCACCTAAGAAGGGTACATTAGAAATTTAATTTCCACCCCCTCCTCTGATCTCATGTTTTTATTCATACATTTCAAACCCCACCTCTACATCAGCTTTTTATCTTTCTTCTACATCTTTGCACAAAGCTGACTTTTCTTTTAAATCTGGTTCATTTCTTTACATGACACAAGCCAATATATTTTAGGTCCGAATGCCCGAATTATTGCAGTTTGTTCACTAGCTATTCATCAGCCTATTAAGAAAAACAGGACCCACTAAAAGATGCAGGCTGCAAATTTTGCAAGTGTGTATTAAACAATTTATCCAGACCAATAACAATGCAGCAAAGTCAATAGCAAACCAACTTACAGAATCAATATCCATTCCTCCTCCCTCAGCTCTAAGCTTGGATATACCATGAGAACAAGCCATATTAAATTTAAAGCTAACCTGATCTAGGCATCACTCTGTCCCTCTAAGGGCATAGAATTTTATGACATTTGGAAATGGCAGCTACTTACACAACATTTTTCAGTAGCATCCATTTCCAAGTGATATAATGATATGAATGAGCTCTACCTACTGCCTATGGAGAGCTTTGCCTGGGCTGGTTTTGTTTTTTTCTTTTGCCAATGACTATACAGTATAAGGCTCTGAATAGCATGCATTTATGAATCTGAGAATAAGAGTGCTGCTATTTTCACAGGAAAACTGCTATTATAAAACCAGCCAGCACAGGGCCTCGTAGCACTTAGCTTCATAAGACAGTCAGTTTCATGAAGAGAATACCAGCAGCTGCATTATCAAATAACCCGAAGACTGAGCTGAAGAAAACAATAAAAATGGATCTCAGTGTGGAGACGGAAAGAAATTAATCTTTGAAGCTCATCTTTGGAACATCAAATAATATAACTGACCAATGAAAATCCAAACTGAAGATCTTAGAGCACTTGAAATCAGCACCTATTTTTATGAAACGAGCTAAAGACACCCATAAGCACTAGAAGAAGGATCTTACCTCATAGCTTCCAGACCCAGTATTTAGCCCAAAGCCTTATAAAAGTATGCCCAGATTTCATACATTGTAGAATATCTGCAGAGAAAAAAAGAAAACAGATGACCATAAATATACTGAAACCCAATAAAAATGCAATGTTCCCAACTGTATACATATTTAACAACCACCACATATCCCATCTTTTCAATGCATCCAAAAAAGAGGTTTCGGTTACTTGCCCTTACAGCCATGAATATTCAGCCTAATTTACTGCCATCTCTAAAAAAATATTAAGCTCTGAAAAGCAGGGTGCTTTAGAAGATGAGTAACTACTTATCTCAAGATATCTTGAGATAATCAAGACATTTAACAGTGACCTTGGTTCTTTGTTCATCCTGAACTCATCTATTCTGCCAAGAGTTCATTTTAGCCTGCTGGTAACATACTAGCCATCAATCCTGCTTAATTAGTTCTAGCTAAAAACAAACCAAATGTTGATTTGGCATTAAACAAAATTCATTTAACAAAGCTTCCATGAAATTAAACCTATTTATCCCTTTGTCTGCTAACTGAACTATCCGTGATGCTTTCTCTAGATATTGCATAAGATTTTAGCTATTATTCTAAGCAAATGAATTCAGAACAAAAATAGAAACATCCATTAAAAGATAATGCTACTGGATAATTCTTGCTTCCAGTTCTGTCTACATTTATAAGCTTAAGATCTTCATGATACTCCAATCAAGCTGAATTAAAAGCTAAGTATAATTTTGTGCTATATAAGCTTGTCTCATTAAAAATTGGGAGAGGAGGGGAGAACAGCCTTCTGACAATGAAATAAAGTAACTCTGATAATGCTTTGTGAGAATCAAGCAGAATGTTTGTATTCTCACACTCCTTGTTTTTACAAATGAAAGAAAGTTATAATCAGGATTCAGTACATTTATCTGGAACCTCCAAAGCAGAACCCTCAAGAAATAATGAGGCATCAAGCTGGCTTTGCAGAAGAATCTCATGCTTCAAATGCAGCAACACTGGCTGTAGTTCAAAGTGGCAGAAAGTGACCCTTCTTCTGTACAATAGGTGCTTAATGTGATTGTTCTGACAAGAGCAGCTATGGGTTTAGAAATAATCATCATGTCCAGGAAGATGTTTCTTACATGCCTCCCACTTAACCTTAACTGGATTAGGAGGATGTGCAGTGGTATTGCAAACAAACCTTGGTGATCTGAAGCACTGCTCTGAACAAAGAGGTTTTCTTTCCGCAGTTAAGTGAGCCTGGTACACAATTATTCCGAGGCTCCTTTTCACTCCTCTGCTGGCAGAGCAAGGTTACAAAGAGTCTGGGAGCTGGGATGCCAGTTTTCATACTGCTATTGAAAGCCACACACCTATTAAAATGGAGCAAGTTACTCAAAGTTACAGCTAGCTCATGCCAGGAAGGGTTTTGTGTGCAGAATATCTGACAGTTTTCACACCGTGGCTGTAGAGCAAAATGCATGCCCTACTCTGCCAGACAGGATAGTTCTGAGCTGCAGAAACAGTCAAGAACTGAACAGATCTACACAAAACAGCTGTAGAAGAAAGAATCCCATCTTATGTTTCTCTTATCTTATGATTCCCCTTTCAGAAGAATTGAGGGCCAGCAGAGCTTTTCCTGATCCTCGTGGCCACAGGAGACCCTTAGAAAACATTCCTCTAAGGGGTAAGTACTAATCCCATCATGGCTATGTCAAAAAGCAAGGAAGCAGAACAGCACGGTAGGGCAGTAAATCAGGACTTTGAGCAAGCAGTGCACCTTATCTTCTCTTCTTTTAATTAGCTCTAAAACAAGAATAACACATTAACATGTTGACTTCTTCCAATCTGCTTTGTACCGTGTCTAAAGTTACAGTTATGGCTAGCATTCTTTGTCAAGATTTTCTGGTTCTTTATTTTAAATGTCACAGTCAAGTCAAGAGCCACTGTCAGGAGAATGAATGTGCAGTCACCTGTAGAAGAGTTGGCACTGACAGATATTCTCTGCCTGTTCTTTCATCAGAATCATTTCTCATCTCCCCATTTAGCCCTCAGGGATAACACAATCTACAAAAATGTCAGTTTCATAGCAAAATATTTTTGAATAAAAATACTCTGCCCAGATACAACAAACCCAGCCAACCACAGGATGTAGTTTGACAGAATAAGGAGGTGGGGAATAACATCCTATTTGTTGACTCTTTTTCAAGAAGTGGCTGCTCTTAAGGTGGTTCCACTTTGCTGGCCTCCTTCAAAACCTCTTCATACTTGGCAGTTCATACAGAGAGCCAGAAAACTATGGGGGTGAGAAATGGTGTCAGATTAACAGCATCAGGTTAAATGGCAACTACACTCACTTTTGTGTGTTAAGTGGGACAAGAACCAGAGCCAAAGAGCAGAGGGCTGTTTTGATGTCAAGTTGATGACCGTAAAGAGGATACGTGCAATGATGCACAGATGCTTCCAAGTCAGCCTGTCCTTCCTTTTCTTCCTATTTCTTCTAATTTCTCTGATCCAGGCAGGGAGGCCACATCAGCTATCTGGCTTTTGTAGATCAATAATTGAACTGTGATACCAATGCTCTAGCCCACGTAGTTCAGCTGGTCAGGTAGGTATCACCAGCAAACATAGAAGAGACATTCAGAGCACTCTCCTCCTTACAGCCATTCTCCCCTAATGTTTGCCACTTTACCTGTTCACATACTGCAGCTTCCTTACGGCTTCCCAATGACTCTCACAAATTCTCCTCTAAAGAACAGTACAGGCTAAAGCAGAAAAACACCTACAAAAGGATGGTAGAGAGTATAGCTTTTCCATGCTCTGCACACGTGGCAGAGTGCTCTCAACCTCAGTGGACCAACCAGTCACAGTGCCCACTCGTGCTTGCCACCACCAATTTGATCATTGCTTCTCTGCATACAGATGCAATCTTCAAGCAGGAGCCCATGTCGTAAGAAGGAAGAGATGTCCACTTCATCACCTCATCAGTGCAGAGCCACCACCTGCACCTAAGCCATCTATCAAGGCTGTACTGTGTATTTGCTGTATGCAGTAATAGTATGCTCAGCTGTGTTTAATTGGAGACTGATTTCTAAATCTCTCAGATACACTAAATCAATCACTAGAAGGCAGGAAAACGATTTGTAGAAATGGGGTTTCTCTTTCCGTGCTGAACCAAGGGGCAGATTTAGCTCATTTTGTGCAACAGCACTATTTAGACCAGCCAGAGATCTGGTCCAGTTTTTCTGATCATTGTTTTCAGTGTAATTCCTCAGAGCTACCCTGAGCTGATGGCATCTGAGGATGTCTCCCTTACATTTGCTGTTGGGAACACGAGGCCATGGCCCTATAGCCACACTGATAACAATGTCACCTGTGATAACAGCATGATTAAGCAGGTACAGGCATTGTAGCTTCTCGGCAAACTGACTTTTTCCCTCATGAAAGCAAAGCACTTACTTCAGCTATTATCTTCAATGCATAAGCTTATCATTTGATTTTCATGTTCTTTTCTATTTTTTTGACATTTTAAAACAAAAGCACCTTTGGCCTTACCAACTCCTCCTCCACACTTTTAGTACCTGACACACAGCTCTGCTGACTGGGCAGATGACCTTCTGCTCCCCTGAAATTAATTGAAGGTTCAGAGGTTTCGTTTCCAAGGCAACTCCTTTTGATGTGTGTATGAAGTTATACGCTTTGGGGGAACCTGCAGAGCTGTTCCCTGCAGGAACGACACCCACAGCTCACTCTTTTGGGCTCATGTATAAAGGACTGGATCCAACATGGGTTTAAGCTCTACCAAAGTCCTGTGACAACCTGACTGGATGAAGGTGACAGTCTAAAAGAGGAGCTGCACTGTGTGAAAATACCTGCAGCTTGCTTATTGGTAGAGAGGATAAAAAATCTCTGCTAAACACCATGCCTTCAAAGGTACTTAGCAAAACAGACAGCACAAACAACATTTCTGCAGCCTGAGAGCACTACCAGCCAGAGCATAGAATAGAAGCAGAACAGCTTCACAATTAGCAATGAAACTGCAAGAAGCATCTACATCTTGGTAACTGCACATGGCTGTACCTGAGGTCCCCATGGGAGCAGAGGTTTCCTGGACGCAATTCCAGAGGGCAATGGACACTTTAGTGAGAGCATCTTTGAACTAACTGTCTGGAGGAAAACATGAATAAATTACTCTGAAGTGATTGGATGCCAGAGTGCTTCAGGATATATGACAAGGGAACACTGCTTAAAAAAAAAATCTTACCTAAAGAAAGCTCAAGCTCACAACACTGAAATGTCCAGGGTACAGCAAAGAGAAAGAGCCCCTGTGGAGAGAGGTGGAAGGCAGTTGCATCAGACACTGCTACAGGTAACAGAAGTCATGAATGTGAAAAACAGGTGAGATCTCCATTTCTGGTTGTTTAGTCCCTGCATAAACTACACAGGCCAAATCTGTGAAACCAGCAGAATCTCCTATTATTATTATAAGAAACCAATGTAAATTACTTGTTTAATCCTGTTATTGTTGTTCTTCCAAGGGACCATATACTAGTGTACAATTACTTCAACTAGAATTCACTAATGTTTCCCATTATAAATAGTTGATTCCAGTTGCTCACAACTTTGTCAAATTGTCAAAATTGAGCTTGCAACCTGATGCAATCCTGGTATTTTAAAAATGCATATTTTGCACTTAGAACATTAATACTTCAATTTGCTAGGAAAAAAACCTGGACTTAGTTTTGTCAGAGAAGGTTCTGGCTTTGTCGGAGAACATAATGGCACATCCACTGCATAATGAGCAAGCCCAAAGATGCACAGGAAGGATGAATGCCTGGTTTATGTGAAATTTTAGTCCTGATTCTACAGCAAGGCTTCTGTGCAGTTCTGCTTGAGAGAAAGGATTAGACTTGCCTGCTTTCTCATGGTGAAATGGGGCAATTGTTTTTCTTCTCTACCAGCCATTATCTGTGTACATCCAAACAAAACATTTCTTGTTTCTCCCTTTGTGAATGTGTGAATCCCTATGGCCCACAGAGGGTGAAACAGAAAGTGGTTTGGGAAACATCATCTCAACCATAGATTTGCCTCTGTGACAAGCACCAAGATCCAGCTCAACACAATGAAATAATCAGTTTTGTATTGTAAAGCTGAAACTTTGTGATTTATACAGTCTCGGCAATGCTGCAACCAGCAAGAAAGTCGTAAAACTCACTGATATCTGCCAGTGGAAAGTCACATTACAGAAAAGGAGCAGCAGTTATGCCATGTCGGTACCAGATGACAGCACAAGCCACCTAATGGAAAAGGTGGAGGGCGAGGGGCAGAGAACACTCCAACCCAACACACAGGGCAAGGGAGGCTGGAGAAATGGTCCCAAGGGGTGAGAGAACTGCACTCCCACTTTCCAGAAGCTAGCTGGAAGGAGCACATCTCAGCAGTGCTAGCAGCAGAGTGCTACGGAAAGCATCCAAAGGTGGCTGCAGGTGGCACTGAGACTTGTAGGGTGGTTACATTTGCAGCATGAGAGTCAGCAAATCCAGAAAAAAAACATGTGCCCAGCACTCAGAAAGGGTAAGCAGACTTGGGAGTCTCAGATCCAGACAGAAAAGGGAGGAGGGCTGCTACCAAAGTCAGTCCCTGGGCTGATTGTTGGTACGCTCTGCAGGTATGGCAGACGTAAAACAGCATATCTTGGCTGAGTAACAGACAGCTCAAAACCTGCACACCTTGTTGCCATATACTTACTTACATACTCCTTCAAATAGAGTTGCAAGGCTTTCCAAAATGACCACCAACACAACTGCTCCCAAACACACTGCTCTATTTTATGCTGAAAAGCACTCCAGACATATGGAACCTGCCCACCTCTCTTGAAATAACATAAAGCATCTTAAGAATCAATTCTTGTTCAGTACATACAATCTTGATTATCAGTTTTCTTCGTGACAGTTTTGAAACATTATAGATATCTGCATTTCTGTGAACTAACTGTATTGAGACCTCAATTCAGATAGATATAAAAACATATTTTCACAAAGAACACATTGTTCCCTAGCAGAGGTTTCTGTCTTCAAGGACATCTAGAAACAACAGCACCAAGTCAGCTCATGTTACTGTGATTTTTTTTTTATTTTTTAATTAGTAGCATTTTTCATCTATTCCTATAATAATCTCTGAAAGACTTTTGAAGTCTAGGTTAAAAAAAAAAAAAAAAAAGGTATGTAGCTACAGAGCAAAACTAAATTGAATTGAGCCTATCATCCTCTGCTGCTGTTAGCAACCTTCAGTCATTCTTTCTTTCAGTTTTCACGTTGCTTTCTCTATTTAAAGGAATAAAGCCAGCATTGCTCACCACCAAGGGAAAATATTCAGTAAATGCAGTAGCCTCCAGCCTAACTAAATCCTAATGTTAGTTCAGCCCAGCAGTGCACAATGACCATCATCACCGCTCCTGGTGGATTGTTAATTGGGTTCTCTGCCTTATTATACTCATTACAGAAGCAACTGTAATCAAGTGGTAGCGTACAAAAAAAACACATCACTGACCCCCTGCATGCAATTTTTCCTGAGGTATGCTCTTGTTTTTTAACCATCAGCCACTATTCCCTAGAGGCAAACACACAGAATCTGTACCATCTCTCTGACAGCACCTGAAAGGGAGACCTGATTTAAAAACAAAACCAACAACAGCAAAAAAAACCCCAAGTATTTCTGAGGGAGAAAAGTAAAACTGGTGTAGGAAAAGATAATCTAAAATTAAACAGTGATGCTTGCATAACGAATGGTGTGACTAGTTAGAAATCTTTAATTGCTTTTTACCTTTTGGCGTAAGTATTTTCATATACACAATCAACCTTCTAAACATCTCCCTCGAGAACTCCATGACAGAGCCAAGGTTCCCTCTTCCCAGTACCAGAAATACTTGCGGTGTCAAAGTTGCAATGTTTAAAGCATGGATGCAGGCCCTTAGCTTTACATTACACTTAGTTTCTGGTACTACTGAAACACAACCATTTGTTGTACCATTGCTCTTCATAATCATACGTGAAATTTTATCTTTGGGAAGGTGGCAGATTCAGCCTAAAAACAAAATAAATCTTGAGAGATTTGAAAGGCTCTCATTTCTGGTGCTTGGACTCAAAATTACTTGGCAGCAGGCTGAAAAACAAACAAGATTTTTTTTTCTCCCCTATGCAATACACTGTTTAATTCCAGAGCTCTCCACAACAGAACGTTGCAGAAGCCAAATTATAAATAGGTTGAAGAAATTAGACTCATTCATCATTGGTGGAATTAATCAGGATGGTCCAGCCACAGTCTCCCAGGCTGGAAAACAGTATTCATCAGATTGACAAAGGATAGAAAGCATTATATATGGAAAGGTATTTTAGGGACATCCTGTTCTATACAATGCTTTTTCCCAATGTAGCTACTGGTTGAGACTATTTACTAGGCTGGATGTACTTCTGGATAGATATATAAGCCTCTAACACAGAAGAGCTGCAAACTACAATAGCTTCCATTTCATTTGTCTGCTTTCCAAAGTTTAAGCACAGAATGTGATCTGGAATTCAATAAAATGTACCAACCTTTTTGATATTTGCATGGAAATTATTTTGATATTTTACAGTGGAACCTCAACAAACAGAAGATCTCAGTCTTTTAAGTTAATCCATCCTTAATAAAAGACTTTCCTGGTCTAACGAGAAGCTAAACTAAATATGAAGACAGGTGTTCAAGTTCATATGTATTCTAGAGCTGCAGGAAGATTTGCACTAAAGAAGCAAAACCAAAACTTTAATCATGAAATGAGTTTCTTTCTATTTATCTCCCTTTACAGTTGCAAACATGCTTCAGCAATCCTTGGAGATTTGCCTTTTGCCAGCTACCTTAATGGCAATTAAGAAACAGCTATAAGAACAGCATTTCCTTGTGTATTGCATTTCTTGTGCTGCATTTCTGAAAACATTATCGAGTCACAAAGGGGAAAAACCTCATTCAAACTGCCTTAGAGTTAGGCTGCATACTGCAGTATTACTCATCTCCAGTGTCCAATGAGAGACTGTTGTTTAATGTATTTTATAACACTAGTCCAACGCTTGTCCAACTGACAAAAAGACCTGAATCCCTGAGACAAGTAGAGATGTCTCCATTGACACACATCCATTTTACCAGCTCAAGATCTGACCTGTGGAATCAAATGGGAGCTCAATTTGGATCATCTTTCATGGAGAAAGCATATACTGGGGTAGGCAACAGTTGGACTGAATCACCTTGGAAGTCTTTTCCAACCTTGGTGATTCTATGATACTAAATGGGTACATCTAGAATTGCATACCAAAGAGCCTCTGGCTGTTAAGAGTCTGCCTCACATAATGAAACAAAGTCCTGTGGCTTCTTTTAACACCCAAATTTCTTACCTTTCTTGAAGGTATGAATTGTATTGTCCATTCACCTCAAGGCGCTGTGCCACAGGGTGAGGAACCAATCTCTTCAGCAAACCTACATGGAAAATATGTCTCTGGAAAAAAAATCTCCTGACACAAAGAGTGTCAAAATCTGTTAAAATTTGACTTTTTTTTCTGGAAATTGATTTTGACTTCTCAAACAAAACTCAGACTCAAAACTCAGAGAAGCATTTCTTTTTTCTCGAGGCTGACCTTTTACTCGGAGAAGTACAGTAACAGAAGACTGATGTTACTTGTCTCTTCTGCAGCTGCAGATAACACAGACTTTCTCCTCTTCCACAGTTGGGCAGGCCTGTTCTGATTCGGAACAAGCAAAGAAGAAACAGCACAAAGGGAACAGCAGAAAAAGCACGGACAATGAAAAACTTTATCAGAAAACCTGCATGGGCAAATACAAAAGACAAAGAAAGCAAATAATATAAAAGCAGTAACACAACTAAAAACACTCCAGGCAAATACTAGCTGGAATTACTGCAAACTGAATGAATAAGGTAAATATTCAGAAGAGTGTATTGAGACCTTCCCATGGCTGCACTCCAGGGAGAAGAAGGAGAACAACCCCTCACAGATGAAGCTCTTGTTAATGGTAAGTCTGCCAAATATAACCTAGTAAATAAAAGTAAATTCACCAGACGACAATGCAAGGCCTTGCTAAAAAGCCAAATGGCTTTTTTCATGAAGACACTGGAGAACTATAGAATTTACAAAGCAAAATTACAGTGCTGCAAAAAAAATCAGCGTTGTTAAGAAAATTGTACACCAGTGGCATGAGGAAAATTTTGCAGGGAAAAGAGCTGAATGGAAGACACACAAGATTTGTAAGAAATATCACTTATTCCCACTGTGAGTATTGCTG